GGTGGCAGGGTCTGCTCTGAATGCTTTCCATAAAAGCACCAGGGTGGTTCCCACGGCAAATGGGTCCGTCCTCCTGCTCACTGCTTCTCTCCGCACCTGACTATCAGCGATGACTACAGGGCATGTATAAAAGGTCCTACGGCTGGTCATCTCCCCTGCTTCTTCCTCTACCTCTTCCTATTACTTTCTTCTGGGATAAAGATCCTTCTTCCAGCAAAAGAAAAATATTTACGTGCTTTTTTTGGGTGAGATGGAAAAAATGCACTGGGAAATAGTGAAAAAAACTGAGATCCATTAATTTAACTACAACACAATGAAGCTGATGGGATTCTCCCAGCTGGATTTATTTGGGAACAGAATGAAGAAACACTGCATAATCCTGCACTAAGTCTCTACCAGACAACATTTATGACAATGACAGCAAAACCAGATCTAGGAGCTATTCCAAGCCCTGGAGATTAGCAAATAATCACAGGCTCAAGTCCTAATACAATTCTGGAGAGACATGGAAGGATTCAGAAATTAACTAGCAAAATAGGATTTAAAAAAAAAAGAAGAAAATTTTGACCTCCACGTGCTCTGGTCAGCGTCAGCAAAATTCTACATTCATCTATGTGTAGCCCCATCATTGTACTTCATATTATTTGACAATTATCTCTTGATAAATCTGTCTCCTCCTCTAGATTGGAAACGGCCTGAAGTCAGGAACTGTCCATTTCATCTTACTGACTCCAGGACAGGGCCCCGTTTAGGCAACAACAGTTTACCAGCTCAGTACTAGGAGCTCCCTGGAGTCAGCTTTAGATAAAATCCTAGCTCGGTCCCTTACTAGCAGCGTTATTATGGTTGAGTTCCCTGGTGGTTCCAAGCCTCAGTTTCATCATCTGTAAAATGGGTTAATAGAACCCCCATTGGACTCTGAAGAATGAAAGCTATAATATAGGCAAACTAGTTCAGTAGCTTGTACACAGCACTCAACAAATGGCAAGTATGATAAGGCACTAAACATATTAATGCCCAGACTACGGTGCACTGACCGTGACTGCAGGAAGACACAAAATAAGGGAAAATGGCCAGCCGTGGCCGTAAGAAACTCCCAGCCCTCGTATAGCAGAGCACTCGCCGTTGATGCCTGGTACCCCAGGGACAGCAAGGACTAACTCTGACAGTTTCCCAGGAGTCTGTCCATGACTGACCTTGGAGCCCACGGGGCTGACTGGAGACCCTCTCACAGTCAGTGCCCGGATTACATCAGCTTAACTCTGTGCCTTCAGTCTCAGCTGCGCCATCTTCTTATAATCATGTTAAATGTTCTTCTTAAGCCAGGCCAACAACATGAACTGACAAAAGGAGTCCCTTATTCCCCTCATGTGTAGAAACACGACTACTCCACACAAATAGTTAAAAATCGCTAACACTTTCATACTATCTGTATTACTTACACCTAACAACAAAATCTGCTCTATTCTATCTGAAGCAGGCAGTTTGCCATGATGGAAATGGAATAGATAAAGGTGCATGTGATGGGCTGAATAACGACCCCCAGAGATGTCCACATCCCAATCCCTGGAACCCGTGAATATGTTGCCTTACGCTCAAAAAGAACTTTACAGGTACGATTATGAAAAGATCTTGATATGTGGAGATTATCTTGTCACAAGGGCCCTTGTAAGAAGAGACAAAAATTCAGAGAGGAGGCAACGTGACCACACAGGGAAGGAAAGGAAAGAACGTAAAGCGATACAGAGCCCGGAGCCGGGAATGAGGTCGGGCCCAGAAGCTGACAAATGCAGGAGGTGGGGTCTCCCCTGGAGCCTCCAGACAGAGCCGGCCCTGCTGACACCTGAGGCTGAGCCCTGTCAGGTCAATTTTGAAGTTCTGACCTCCAGGACTGTAAAATCATAAAGACATATTGTTTGAAGCTGCTAGGTTTGTGGTAAGTTGTCACATTAGCAATAGGAAACTAACACAAAATATAATCAATAGATAATAATTATAAGTGAATAATTAGGAAATAGCTCTCTGTGATCTATAACTTACAAAGCATTTTACAGACATCTACTTTTTCAGCAATCAAATCCTAACCACCCTACCAGAAGTTATGAAGTCCATTACACAAAGGGAACCATATAAATTACATAATAGTGCAGATATGCACACGCCGATTTTCTACTTTGAAGGCAGGAAAGTTTCTTTAATGACATTTAATACAAGAGACCCATTGTCTACTCCTGGATCCTCTGTGTCTCCTAAGAGAGGACAGTTGGGAGCCCACTTAAAACTTGACTTTAACCACTAGCTTGTGGTCACAACTGTGTCATTCATCTGTGCTTGCCCCACCGCGGTGTTGAGCCCAGTGTTCCATTCGGTGCTGGTTGGTGTTCCATCAATGTTGGCCAATTTAATAAATGACTGAATAAATGAAAGACTGAATGAGAAAAACTCAGAGCCTCAGCCAGGTTCTGCTTTTGATCATTTAGATGGCGTTTCCTTCCAAATTAACCAAGAAGGACCTGGTGCTACAATAAAAAGAAGCAGCTTAGCAAAAAGTAAAAAAAAAATTTAAAGTTAAAAAAAAGTAAAAAGTTTAAAAATAGGTTTTTGTTTTTTTCTAAAAAAAGGCCAACAAAAATGAAACCAGACAATCAAATAAATGATAGAAGGTTCTACTTTTAGTTAGGCTATAAAAGTCACAAAAAACCATCGGTCCCACTGTAAGCATGAGAAAACAATAAATTTAGAAATCTTTTGTCATAAAAGATACCGAAAGAGATGTGGATGCAAGTCTGAACGAACAGAATTCCAGACAGAGACGAGCCCTAGATTCCACAGCTTCCACCGCTGGGCACGAGTAGGCGGAAGGCAGCTGCGGTTGGTAAAGAAACTCTGCTGGCATGAGGAGGGATGAGCCACATGTTGCCCAGCCAGGCCTGGCTCTTGGCAGATTGGAAAATGCAGAGACAGCCAGCCCTCACTGCAGCCCAGTCTCCCTCCTGGTCTTTTTGCTCAGCAAGCATCGGCGCTGGAGGAAGCTGGCAGCTGGGTGGAAAGCAGAGAGAGATCACATAACCTCACACGCAGACCCCAACCTCTACCACTCAGCCAGGTCTCACCGCTGAGAGGAGAGGAGACATGAAATTCAGTTCGACTACTCCTTACGACAGAGGGATCAGGCTCATCACCTTCGCCGCCTGACCAGGGAAAGGGTAGGGCTTCCCGAGGAAAAGTGCTGTCCACCATTTAAAAAGCAGGACGAGTGAAGAAGCAGGAAAAATGTGACCCATAGCTAAGAAGAAAGAGATTAAAAGGAGAACAACAGAGAACTAAAGGGTTGGAAGTAACAGACAAGGACTTAAAAATCACTACTACGAATATGCTAAAGAATTTAAGGGAAAATGTACAAAATGGGTGAAAAGATGGAGAATTTCATCAGAGTCATAAAAACTCTAAAAAGGAAGCAAGTAGAAACTGTAGAACTGATGAATACAATATCTGGAACGATTAACTCATTGGAGGGGCTTAATGGTTAACTGGACACAACAGAGAAGATGCGTAAACCCAAAGCTAAGACAAGAAAAACTATCCAAAATGAAGCACAGAGTGAAAAAATAAAAAAAGTCAAACCCTGGGCATCAGAGTTCTATGGCATACGTGCAAATGGCCGGATATACATGCAGTTGCCACCTGAAAAGCAGAGAAAGAAAGGAGGAGAATTGTTGGAAGGGATACCAAATGAGAATTTTCAAAGAGGGTTGAAAATCACTAATTTAAGACAGCGAAACCCCGAGCAAGATAACAGACAGAAAAGTCATACACAGGTCAACCTGCTAAAAACCAGAGTGAAAAGATAGAGGCAATGAAATGACATGTTTAAAGAGCTAAGAGAAAAAAAAAAGAAAAAAAAAAACATGCACAAACATTGGCAACCTAGACATCTATATTCATGGAAAATAGTCCTAAAAATAAAGGTGAAACAAAGGCCCAAACAAAAGCTGGGAAAATTCATGCTGCACTACAAGAAATGGTAAACAAAGTTCTTCAGACTTGAAGAAAATGAACACAGAGAAAAATCATGATAGGCAGAAAGCAATGGTGATCAGTGGGGCAAATATCAAGGAAAATATAAAATAATATAGTTTTCAATTTCTTTAAAGGACAATTGGCTATTTGAAGCAAATAGAGCAACGTATTATAGGATTATAATACACAAAGAAATAAAATATGACAATAATAATACAAAAAAAGGCAGAGTAAATAGAATTACACTATTGTAAGGTTGTTAAATGTTTCATGAAGTTGTAACAGTTACTCACGGTAAAGTGTGATGAATTAATTATACATATTGTAATCTAGAATAACCATTAAAAATAATACAAAAAATGGTGAAACTAAATAGCAATAGGGTAATAAAATATAATACAAAAGCCATCCGAAACACACCCACAAAACCTCAATTTCCAAATAAAGAAATAAAGAACAGAAAGAGAAAATGAGTAAGAACTAAGATAATAAAATTAAACCCAAGAACATCCCATGTAATTATGGTAAGTGTAAGATATATTCAACACTCCAATTAAATATGGGTTTACAAAAAGACCCAACTGTTTACAAGAGACACGTTTTTAATATAAAGACAGAAAGTGAAAATAAAATGATGAAAAAAATATACATTGCAAACACTAACCACAGGAAAGCCAATGTGTCTAGATTAGCATAAAAAAAAACTGAACTGTGAAAGTATCATCAGTGATAAAGATGGATATTTCATGATAAAATAGCCATTAATAAAGCCCAAAATTTGTTCTCTGCTTAGACTAACAGGCTTGATAAATCCTCTTTTTTCAGCATACAATTTCAGGAGGTGTATGATCTCCTGTGTGTTTATGAATCTCTATTTAAAACCTCTTTTCAAAGTCACACTATCTTTAAATACAATGATTTTATTTTCAGGCACGTAACCCCCTCAATTATCATCTACTTGATTCTTTCATGTCAGTTACCTGGAACTTCACCTTCTGGTTGATGTCCTGCACGCAGAACTGCTTCAGGAAGCGCTCATCCTCACTCCAGAAGAGGCGGATGTCGGGGATGTCGTAGAGGACCATGGCCAGCCGCTCCAGCCCAAGGCCAAAGGCCCAACCGATCTGATCTTCAGCACCAGCTACAAAGAAGAAAAAAGACAAGACAACAGGTTAAAAAAGCACAAGGGCAATACTCCAATATAAAATAAAAAGTTTAAAAAAAACAAAAAGAGCACGAGGGTCCACAGGTCCATCCCACTCCTGACACCCACCCAGATAAGGCTGTGGTGAGTACCGACCAGAAGGGTGCTGGGGGGCGGGCCGCGGAGACACCCAAGGGGACCCCCATCTCACAGTTTTCGTGCTCCCCACATCCCTCGCTCCCCTCCCCGAGGCACTCTGGAGTCGAACTTCTCTAATACTGTCTTTCATTTCTGCTTAAATCCCAGGCTGGCTAAGCCCTGGTTCCTGCCTCTGAGATACTTTCCTGTAATCTGCGCTCCCCCTTTTTCCAACATTCAGCCTCTGTGTTCAGGTTACAGAGAGGAGAGAAAACACAGGCTCTGTCCCCAGGTGGCTTACGAGATGGGCAGGTTTGTTCAAAACATGCCACAGTGGACCACTGATATTCAGGAAGTGTGTGTCCAGCCTCCAAGAACCCTCAGTTTACTAGAACACACACTGACTCTTAGTAAAAGCTGCCCCAGTAACACACAAGGAGCAAGCCTGCCAAGGTGACATGCACACGCGGCACCAGCCCCTCCGAGGGTGAGCGTGTAGTTCAGACCTATGGCAACACATGAAGTCTCGGGTTCGTTCACGTGAAGCAGAGTGAGACGGAAGACACAAACTGCTGTGCGAAGGGGGCAAGGGAGCAACGCCCAGCACAGGGAAGAGCTCACGAGACAGCGTCATTTCGACTGGACTCTGAGGGGTGAGCAGGACGCTGGGGGCGCTGAGATGGCTCAGGACGCCCACCCCCACGCACACGCCCTGCGAGGGGACCCCTTAGGGACCGCTCCCCAATCCCTAGGGTTTCTCTGCTGGGATTAGGTTACTTTATGCAAGTCCATCTTAGCAAACTCCAGAGAGTCTCCTGCTGGCTTAGGAGAGCTGAGCTGACGTGAAGAGAGGAGGCCCAGGTGTGGCCAGACCTGGAGGGGGGCCTCCGGGAGCCAAGGGAGGCCCTGGCGGCAGCAAGAAGATGGGAAGCTCACTCCCGCGATCGTGAGGAAATGGATTCTCCTGACAGCCCGAATGAGGGAAGACAGGACCCTGAGCTCCAGAGGAGAACGTGGCCTGGTGACACCCTGATTTCAACCTGTCGAGACGCTGGGCGGGGGACCAGGCCCTGTGCACCGGACTCCTGACGCACGGCGGTCGTGACACAACAAGTGCATGCTGCTTCAGCCACTAAGTATGAGGTTATCTGTTACCCAACACGAAAAACTAACGCTGCTCCAAATGCAGAGAAAGATGCAGGCAAGTTCCAGACTGAAGGAACGTCTTCACCGGCCGGGCAAGCTTCAGGCAGGAGAGACACGGCAGAGAGGACCTGCCTCCGGCCAGGGGCTGGCGCCACTGCCACTTACAAATGAAACCCCAAGGATAAACTACAACAACGGCAGCCACGAAGAAGTGTGAGCCTCGCTGGATGATCTGTTTAAAAGATGAATGGATAAAAATATTCAAAGTGAGATCTCAAAAGGAAAAGGTACAGAGAGAGAGAATGCGGCAGTAGCGGGAGGGAAGACACGCAGGGAGAAAAGCACGTGGCCGGGCAAGTGCAGAGCCACCTGTGTCCTGAGTAAGATGCCCTCTCATGCGAGGCAGCGGGGAAGGGGGGCTTAACACAGACAGCGGGGTCACGAAGGAGGGAGCACAGCCCCTGACCCCTGGCCGGCTGCCTAGAAGAGCAGCTAAGGGTGAGGCACCCTCTTTCGAGTAAGTCATACTGATGCCTGAAAACCATAGAGAAGGCTGCAATGAAAAATGTAAAAATGAATAGGAGTGTGACACACTGCTTTTGTGTCCTAAAAGAATAATCTTCTCTTTAAATGGCACTGCCCAGGCCTGGTGGTGTGGTTCCGCACGCCGAGCACTGCGTGATCCCAGTGCCCTCGGTGACTGCTGGTCACACTATTTATCCTGGTAACAATTTGGAAAATGCAGCAGCACATACAAAGGTCCGTAACAACGCTCAAACTCTTTATCCTTCTGATTCCATTAGGAATTTATCCTAAGGAAATAATTCAACAGAAGCAAAAAGATAAATGAAGGAAGATATTCAAAGCTGTATAACTTATTACAGCAAGAACATGAAAACAACCTAAACGCCCCAAATTAGGGAATGCCTTAAAGTTATAGTACAGTTTAGTGTAGTCATTAAAAATCATAATTATACAAATAAATGTTGATCAAGTGACAGACTATAAGAAGTTATGAAAAATGTCTATGATAAAATGAGCATGTACTATGCCACTACTATTTAATACAGGTGTACATGAGGGTTGTAACGTAAAAAAATAAAAACAAAATCTGATAAGTAAAAGACGGTAACAGCGCATTTTTATCTTGTGTTTATCTTAAGTAAGCTTTTCATTTGCTTGAGGATCGTTTTCTCCTTTTCTGTGAATGTCGTCATATCATATTTTTCACCCATTTGAAAAATGAGATTGCTGCTCTTTTTCTTGCCTACTTCTAGGGCTTCTGTGTTATTCTTGTTTTGCTTTAGGAAAGTTTCAGAAGATGGGGAAGAAAGGGAGGGTAACGGATGGAAGGAGCAAAAGCTAAGACACTAAAAATTGCTGGATGTGAAATAAACTCAAATACCCTGAATCTACTGCTCTTTCAATTACAGATACTGGGCTCTAGATGGTAGGTTTTATCTAAAAATTTCATAATAAAATCTAAAAGAGTTAATAATTAAGGAAAAAGTCTAACTCACAAAGCAACATTAATATTCCACCTCTCTTTATTATTTTTTTATTTGAAAAGACGTTTCAGAAACATGTTTTAAAGTTGTTTGAAAACTAGTACCGTTATGCGATGTCATGGTTATAAAAGGAAAGCAGCAGCTGTCTGTTTCGGGGGTGGGGGTGGGGGAGAACTGCGCAAGTGGAGGAAGACGGGGGGACTTTATACCATGTGCCTTTTCTATCAAGTGTGAGGAGAAATATTCCAGATAAAAATGTTCATGGCTAGATAAAACACAGTAGTTTCTCTTGTTTATTTTTGAGAAGTTATAAGAACAAAGCACTCCTCCCCTGACACAGCGGTGCCAGACCTTCAAGAAAATCACGTGACTAGCGAACATGGGTTACAAGCTGAACTGACCTCTTTATTTCTATGAGAGCCAATATATTTCCAAGCCTGGAAAATCAGTGTCATTATCCGTGGGGTTTCAGAAAACGACCACAAGCTCCTGCATATCCTCCCCTTGAATCCCAGTGGGCTGTGACTGCTTCAACCCACAGGGTGTGAGGGAAGTGAGGCTACGTGACTTCCAAGGTTACGTTAGAGAAAGCCACCCAGCTAGTGCCTGGTGGCTTGGAATGCCCGCTCTCCAGACACTCCCTCCCAGGAATCTCCCTGCAGAACACCCTCTCTTAGAACCCAGCACTCCCTCCCAGGAATCTCCCTGCAGAACACCCTCTCTTAGAACCCAGCCGCCGAGCTCTGAGCAGCAGTCACACGCAGAGGCCACGCGAGGCACTCCAACGGACAGTCCCAGGTGAACCCCGTCATCCTAGCCTCGCGGCAGGCAGGTGAGTGAGGCAGATTCAGGAGGATTCCATGTGCAGCATGAACAGAGAAAAACAAAAAACTATAACAGAACATTAACAAATGGAACCCAGCGATACACAAAAGGACATTGTATCACGACTGGATTTATCCCAGGAATGCAACGTTAGCTCAGCATATGAGAACCAATCAGTGTAATTCATTTAATAAGCTGCTTAAAAAAGAAAACATGATCATCTCAATAGATGCAGAAAAAGCAACTGGCAAAATTCAACATCCATTCATTATAAAAACTCTCAGCCAATGAGGAACACAGGGGACTTCTTCAATCTAATAAAAGACACAATAAAAAAACCAACAGCTAATAGTATACTCAATGGTGAAAGGCTGGTTGCTTTGCCCTCAGGGTCGGGTTGAAGAGAAGGATGTCTACTCTTGCTATTTCTATTTCTGTCTGAGTTCCCAGCTAGTGGAAAAAAAAGGTAAAGAAGAAATAAAAGCAGCTTAATAGATTGGAAAGGAAAGAGTAACACTGTCCTTATTTGTAGATGGCATGACTGTTTACATAAAAATTCCTCGGGAACGTATCTGACAGGAAACCGATACATGAATTTAGGAAGATCACATATATACAATAATCCACATGGTGTGTGGGACTCGGGGCCTCAGTCCCACGTGGCTGTCAGTAAGGACAGGCCTGAGAGGACGCCAGGCGCAGGCCAGCAAGGGGCCATCCCATCAGCACCTGAAATCCCAACCAGCTCGTGTGTCGAAGCTCAAGGACTAGACCTCCACGAGGAGCAGGGAACAGCTGGCCTCCGGCTTCCTGCCGCTGCCCACAACCCTTGATTCTCACAATCATTCTTACTGAAAAGCCTGCTTGTGACAATCTATTACCAGGAAGGGCTGTAAGAAAGGGCGTCTATTCGCTGAGCTGTACCAGATTCTGTTTTTGAAACACTTTGTTTTGGTCCCATCTAGATCTGCTTCTTCTGAGTTGCAAACCCTGCACTGAGCTACCGGCCTATTACATTCGTAAGGTGCCAGGAACTCCTTGTCAAGAATGCCGGTCACTAGGTCGCTCAGTCTTCCTGCGAGTCTTCATGAAATAAGCTGGTCTCAGATCTAAGAAAATGGGAACAGGAAAAGCTTCCTTCTCGTGAACAACTGGATTCTTTTCAGTTTAAGGATATCGAGACTTACGTAACCGATCCTAATCTACTCCTTACTTTGGCCCCGTGGACGCTTAGAGCCATCCTTTCAAGGTCACCTCTACAGCGGTACGTTTCGCTGTGTGACTCTTGTCCCAGTTTTATTTTCTTATCCTTACATCCTCTTTGTCCTGATTATCTGAACTACTTACTTTATCCTCTTGCACATACTTTTATACGGCACT